AACAATACGAAGAATTAAATTGTGGCGAAATGCCACAAGTTCTTAAAATACCTATAGAATGATAGGTTTCTTTTTTGTGAGTGTAAAACACTTAAATACACCAGTTCGAGAGAGACATTCTGTTTTTTATTGGTTCTTATTCTTCCAAACACTTTTCAATCGACCGCCATTCCTTCATTTCTGGGCGGACTGACTTGAAACTTGGTGGGATTATACATTGGTTCAATACGCCAAGAATTTTTTTTTGTAATTTTATTTATTTAGACCTTTTTAAAGATTTTATGGGATCAGAGGTCAAACAACCCCCCAAAAAATGTACATTTTGGGCTCCTGTGTGCGGTCATATTTACAGCAATCAAGATGAAAATTAACACAAATATAAATTTCCTTGCGCCCAACACTTTCACATACACAAATTTGGATTTGCCAATTTCAGTCTTATTATGTTGTTCAGAGCTCACAAAAAAGAAGCATAATTTTGGGGGTTTTGCACAATTACTCGGCCGTATTTTGACCAATTTGCATGGAATTTGGTACAAATATACTTTTCTACAGGCAACACACTGACAAACAAAAATGGTGGACTAACTTATTTTTAGTAATTATAGGGAAAAAACATAAGTTTAGGGGTTTTGACCATTACTCCGTTGCATTTCGGCCCATTTATATGTGGCTTGGTACAAAGATTCATTTTATAGGTTCTATACATACAAAAATTTGGAATATCCCCATTTTTTGTCATTTTAGGTCAAAGGTTAAATAAACCCATAATTTTAGTGGGTTTGGTCAATTACTTAGCATTGTTTCGACCAATTTACATGGAATTTGGTACAAAAATACTTTTCTACATGCAACACACACTGACAAACAAAAATGATGGACTTGCCCATTTTTAATAATAATAATAGGGAAGTCAAGATGGCACACAAAGCATAAGTTTAGGGTTTTTTGACAATTACTCCGCCGTATTTTGGAAAATTTACATAGGATTTGGTACAAAGATACTTTTCACAGGTCCAAAACAGATATATATATATACAATTTTAGAATTTTTTGTCTTTTGCTCAATTTTTCAGTGAAGAAAGTACACTTTTGGGTTTTTGTGAACTATTTATGTGCACGTCAACCGACGTACATGGAATTTGGTAGAAAGATACCTCTTTGCAGGTCCGAAGCATTGATAAAGACAGTTTTCGATTTTTTTTTTTCTCTGTTTTAACTATGATTTTACTGGTGTCAAAATTGGTCACGTTGGAATTGCATGGTTGAGACATGTTGCATTCGCCCGCGAATGTTGGCCTCTTTAATATTAGTATCTTATCTGTGCGTTGATGATCCAAACCTTACTTTTCTCTCAATAGAACTGCTTTATTTTTAAAGGTATATTTCTAAAATACTTAGGTATACTATTCCAGTCATCCTCCAATTGTAGTTCTACATATTAAAACATGTTAATAATTTTATGTCATAGTACAGATTGCATATTTTTGTCATTCTAGGAAACATGTTGCAAATCAAGAAGATGCCAGCTTACCATGATGTTGATGGTTTTAGAATACCACAATCAATGTCACCCAATTGTTTAAGAGGAACTATACAATATAAACCAAAAGATGACGATGTATTTATTGTTACTTTTCCGAAATGCGGAACAACCTGGACCCAACATATTGTTTACAACATATTAAACAAAGGAGAAGAAATAAAAAATTTCAAAGAATTCATTATTCGATGCCCTTTTATGGAATTTTCAGGACCTCAGTCGGCGGAAATTATGCCACGTCCCGGAGCCATCAAAACACACCTGCCATTTCATTTGAACCCTTATTCTCCTAAAGCCAAATACATCTATGTAGCTAGAAACCCTAAAGACTGCTGTGTTTCCTTTTACCATCACACGAAGATGCTCACAGAGTATCAGTTTACAGATGGAACATTCGACGATTTTTTCGAAATCTTCCTAAATGGAGAAACCGATTTTGGGGATTACTTCGACAATCTTTTATCGTGGTACAAGCATCGAAGTGATCCTAACGTCTTGTTTCTCATCTACGAAAACATGAAATCTGATACTCGTGGTGCTGTTTTCAAAATTGCCGAATTTTTGGGTGAGGATTATGCAACCATGCTAAACTCCGATGAAAAATTGGTTGAGAAGATTCTTTATCAAACAAGCGCAGAGTATATGAAGAAGAATGTAAATGAACAGATAAAAGAATATGAAAACAAGGAACAAAATGTCCAAGAAGATGTTCCAGAAGGAATTAAGTACTGTAACGAATATATGAAGAAAAATAACATTAAACCCATGGATGACGTTCAATTTGTAAGAAAGGCAGTTGTTGGCGACTGGAAAAATTATTTCACGCCAGCTCAGTCTAAAAGATTGATGGAAAAATTTGAAAAAAGAACAAGAGAAACCAACATTCCCCTTCTCTGGCCTGGTTTGTTTTCTGATGTTGAAATAAAATGATATGTTTCAAGTAGTTTTTTTTTTTTAAAGGATAAAGAATAAGTTTCAAGCATAATGATCATTTCGATTATTGGATTTCAATATTAAATAAGAAGTAAAAATAAATGTCACAATAACAGTGGTTGGATTTTTTTTTACTCTTACATTAGACAAGCTTCAAAGAGCTTCACGGTTTCGTTTATAGATAAAGAATGAAAGCAAACATTACGATAACAGATCTCATTGGTAGCATCATTCGTTTCAGCTTACTTGTATAAGAAAATTGTATACTTTGGAAATCAAAATTATTTGAATTAACTAAATTTAAAACTTGTATTCATTTTATAGCGTTTTTTTTTTATCTCTCATAACATTTCGATTACACTCGAACGACAAGAGTTACTCCACTGTATATCACACTTAAATACGTTATCCAAACCGTTCCCGATTGTAATGTATTGGAGTATACAAGATACCTATTGGGCCATCTCAGTTGTCCCATCCCCGAAAATGTTACAATGTTTTAAAAAAAAATCTTAACGTAGTTCATACACGTAGATGATTAGAAACTGAAAACTAAGGATGAGTATGTTTTTGAAAGACAACATCGCAAAGTACTGTATTTTAATTTTAATGATTAATAGCAAAACCAAGAACAAAAATAAC